ATGCAGCCAGTCCTGTCACCCCCTGGTGTGCAGTGGGGCTGGGACAGTGCAGTGGCTGGACTCACTTCTTGCCAGTCCCAGCTGTGGAGTTCCTTCCAGCTGCCACCAGACCTAACTCTGCTGCTCAGGCACCGAGGCATATCCCCTGGCCCCCCACATACCATCGGGGTAAGGACCACAAAGGCAGGGCACGTGGCCAGGTGGATGAGGTGGGGAGCAGAGTCCAGGAGCAGAATGGGTGGGCAGGGTTGGTATCATGGGGTGGAATCATGGGGCAATGACAGTGTGGGGCCAGGACCTGGGGTAGAACCAGGATCTGCTTCCTGTACGTCCGTGGGATGGGTGCTGGTTCTGTGGACAGGACTCTGCCCTGGGCCCTGGATACTGGTCCTGTGCTGTCACTGCCCCGTGATACTGGCCTCTGCCCAAATTACCCATCCCACTCCTGGACTCATCTCCCTGTCCATCCACAACACCAGCTTCTCTACCTGGCCATGCTCCATGGTTGCACAGCTCCTGGCTTGTCTCCATGGAAACTCTGAGATTGCTGGGCAGTGGCAGCAAAGGGCCAGGGCCTAGGGCAGAACCATGATCTGCTCCGCACACATCTCTGGCCATAGAACCAGCTCCCATCACAAGGGTGTGAGGGGGGTGCATCCCAGCTCTGCCCCAGGACCCAGCTCCACTGTCACCACCCTGTAATCCTGCTCTATGATCCTGGTCCCATTCACCCATGGCCCCATCCTATCCACCCAGTTGCATGAAGCAGAGCCATTTAGGGAGTTGTTGCCAGGGGATTGGTGGGGCTTGGGGGAGGAGGGTTAATACAGTCCGTGGCAGCTCACTAAAACTCCCTAAGTGGCCCTTCGGCCTAAATACTTGACCACCCCTGTTATAGGTTAACTGTTTCAGAGAAGCATGAGCTTTCATAGGAAACTTTTGTCAGGTACAACACAGTATCTCAGACAAGGTTCTTTGGGTGAATCTGATATCTTTTACTAGACCAACTTAAATAGTTGGAAAAAAAAATAATCAAGCTTTCAGCTTCAAAAACCCTTCATCAGGCTGAGGAAGTTTCAGCAGTTGGTGTGTGCTCTTCCTGGATGGAATGAAAAGTAAAGAAGCCAGAGGCTGGGCTGGTATGCATACAAGATAGGCAGTCAATGAAGACTTTTTACATGCTTCCTAAAATCCACAAACAAGGGAACCTTGACACACCTATTATATCCAACCATGGGACCCTAACTGAGGAAATATCAGGTTTCGTTGAATCAGTTCTAAAACCGCTTTTTGTACAAGACACTACAGACTTTCTACGGAAACTTAAAAACATAGACCACCTTCCCAGCAACACCCTCCTAGCCACCATGAGTTTTCCCAGCCTATATACCAACACCCCACACCAGGATGGCATCCAAACCTGCCTTACATATCTACAGGAACAAAATTACAATTCAGAATACAGACCCAAAGATACTACTGACATTATACACTTCATCAGCACACACAACAATTTCATTTTTAATAACCAACACTTCCTCTAGACGATGAGAACAGCTATGGGCACCAAAATGGCCACAGTATGCCAACCTTTTTATGAGCCACCTGGAAGAAGACTTCCTCAAGAACTGCACCATCAAACCCTTGTTATACTTAAGACATATCGATGACATCTTCATCATTTGGACTGAAAACCTGCAATCTCTGATTGAGTTCCATCAGAAATTCAACAATCACCATCCCTCTATCCCACTTTCTCTAGAATACTCCAGCACCAACATCTCCTTCTTAGACATGATAATCAGTATCCGGAATGATAAAATACAGAACACGTTATAGAGGAAACCCACAGACCAACCTACATATCTGCACAGAACCAGCAATCACCCTAAACACACCAAAAAAGCTGTGATATATAGCCAAGCCCTCAGATACCACCAAATTTGCACTGAAGAGAACACCTGGGATTGCCACCTCACCAATCTTAAAAAGGCTTTCACCCAAAAAGGACACTCCTCCAGAGAGATAGATCACACATTTGAAAGAGCCACCCGGATACTACGTGAAGAACTACTGCAGTACAGAAGAAAACTCCTACAAATCGCACACTGCTGGTTATGACATATCATCTCTTCCTCGAACCCATATGGAAAATCCTCAAACAATTGCAACCCATACTAGAAAGAGACACTATTCTTAAAGAAATCTTCCCAGAGCCACCCATCCTAGCCTTCAAACAAGCACCAAACCAAACTTCCTCAGGCCCACACCTAATGGATCCAGACCATGCCATGGCAAGAAACACAAAACCTGCCAACACATCTCCACTGCCCCCACAATTACTGCACCCCACTACAGAGCCATCAGCATTCACGGATTTTACAGCTGCACCTCCAGAAATGTAATATATCTCATCCAATGCACCAAATGCCCTGATGGAAAGTACGTAGGAGGGACCAAACAACAACTGCGCACCAGAATGAACGCACACTGGAAATCTGTCAAAAACAGGAACACCTAATTACCGGTGGGGCACATTTCTCACAGGAGGGCCACTCTCTCTCCAATCTCTCAGTCCTGATCCTCAAAGGAAACTTACAAAACACTTCCCGAGATAAGCCTATGAACTCCACTTTTTCAACCTCCTGGTATACTAAAAATTATGGACTAAATATAGACATTGGATTTATGACACATTATAACCTGCCTGACATCTGACTCCCCAGGTATTTCTCCACTATTCATCCCCCTTCTCTCCCCCACACCCAGTCTGTCTCACCCATTGACTCCTCAGTCTATATCTTCACTGACTGCCTGTCTTGTATGCATACCAGCCCAGCCTCTGGCTGCTTTACTTTTCATTCCATCTAGGAAGAGCACACACCAACTGCTGAAACTTCCTCGGCCTGACGAAGGGTTTTTAAATCCGAAAGTTTGCTTAGCATTTTTTTCCAACTATTTAAGTTGGTCTAATAAAAGATACCAGATTCGTCCAAAGAACCATATCTGCCTATGTCTTTAGACCAACACAGCTACAACCTACACCCCTGTAACACAGAACCTCATGCTTTTTCCTTCTCTCAACGATCTTGGAGGCATTTTCTCTTGAATGGTTGCAGCTTCTTTCTAAGATTTACTCATCAAGTTACTATTTTTAGCTCTAATATGTTGGTAAAATGTGTTCTTTAGATTGCTTTAGATTAAAAGAAAAAACCCAAATCAGCCATCTAATGGCTCTAAATAGCAAACAAAATAAGAAATACATACTTTCTTCAAAGGCTTTTTAAATGGAGCTACAATCCTTTGAAATGTTATTCCCATTCTGAAGCATATTATCACTAGCTGTCTATTTTGTTTCCTTACTTAAAATGACTGTTTTTCATTTGTAGGATTTCCAACCTGTTCTTTCATACTGGAATCCTACACAACTTCTCTGCCTTGCTGAGAAACAAATTTAAAACAAATAAATTGTATCCTGCATCTTACGTTACACTCTTCCTCTTGATTGCTTCCATTTTTTCTCCCTTTCCTAAATATCAGCTATTATATTATGAGAAGATGCTAATGTTTTGTTTAAATATATCATGTGGTAAATACTGGAGAGGGCAAAAGGGAATTTTTACTGAGAGAAAACACTGACACGAGAATACATTTTGTCTGGAAATTAGAAAGGCTTCCAACCATCACAAAAGGGAGGTTCCAGTATAAGTAGGAGAAGTGGTGGCAAAAGACTTAACTGCTGTTAAGACACAACTTGTGCAATTTATGGAAATGATTTATGAGGGTATGGACAGACATAAGGTTTGAAACATTTCAATTGGCTTTGACATGTTTTTGAAATTTTTCAGAAGGCTAGAGTATAACCCTCAACTTGGGGTAAAACGCTCCAAAGAGTGACAGAGATATACCTGGAGGGAGCTGGTGCTATTTTGTACCATTTTGTACCACCTTACATCTCTAGTGTAAGTTGATCCTCCAGGCACCTCGCAATGTAGCACTGTCCCCTCAATGCACGCAGTCTTTCTACACCCTGGCTGCTGCTGCCCAATATCCCCACTCCCAGCACTCTGGTCACTGCTGGCAACCCCAGGGCTCCCCTCACTCTGGGCACTACGTGTGCTACTGGAGCCAAGAGATCCTGTGTTCCCCTGACCAGAACCAGGAGATCCCAGAGACAGGATACCAGAAACCCCATGCTGAAACTCGGAGACTCCACTCCCTCCTACTCTCCCTCCCGCACACTCCTCACCTCCCTGAATTGGAATTCCTGCTCTCCAGTCCGTGGTCCCCACATACTTCTCTCTGTCTGATCTCCCAGTTCTTGTGAAGGGCACCTGAGGCAAAAGGATGGGAACACTCACTGACATGGGCACCGCTTACCTGCTTCTTCTAGTTGGGGGCAGGGATTGGAGGTGCAATTCCTGGAAGATGCAGGCTGCAGAGCTCCCTTGACAGTCCATTCAGTCCCCTACACCCTGTGGAGGGTGGGAGAAATTAAGCCACAGTTCACCACAGCTGTCTGTCATGCCTCCTGGCCAGAGAGTTTGCTGCTGCATGCAGCAAGGGCAGTTTTGAAGCACCCCAACCAAAAGAGGTGCGACAAGGGGATATAAGTATGCAGCTGAAATACTACATTTTTAAACACTAAAAATCCTGTTATGCTTTGGAATATTTTAAATGTTACATCTCCCTGCAACCTGATATAGTTGCCTTCAATACAAAATCAAAGGACAATAAGACCCAGGAAGCTCCCTACTAGGTCAGGGTTCAGCAATCTTTGGCAGACAAGGGCCACACTTTGTGATCCAGCCTTTCCCTTGGGCCATAAGTAGCGCTCCTCCTAAAGCAGCTGGCTGCCTGCACTTATCCTCACTCATTATCCCCATTCCCTCTGTAGCCAGAGAAAGCACTGATGATAGCTGTTTGCTTTTCTTTCCTAGCACAGCTGATGGCATTTAAAAGATCTCATTCTAAGTTTTTGTATTTCCTTTCAATTGCAGGTGTCACTGTTAATACTTATTCCTGCTTGGATCCTGGCATACCAGTTCATGGACGTCGTTACGGTCATGACTTCTCTATTGGTTCCACCGTTTCATTTAGTTGTGATCCAGGATATAGGCTGAGCCATGAGGAGCCTTTGTTATGTGAAAAAAATCATTGGTGGAGCCATCCGCTTCCAACTTGTGATGGTAAGAATAAATTAACAAGACATAAAAAGCTATTGATACCATGTATATGTATTAAGAACTATGATGTGCTAACATGAAGAATTAATCTTTTCCCCCTGGCTTATTTCATACAATATAAATTAATGGCAAAAGCAGAATCCAATATATAACTCAATATTGGATGGAATTTTGCCTGAGGTTAATTGATAGCCCGAATGGCCTCGCTATAAGCCTTTTCAATTTTTAGCCAGTGTTGCAGAATATTTTGTGCATTCAGAAGGCCCTATTGGAGTTGTTAGCACTTTATTAGATGATTCCTTCTGAGGTAATTTTCAGCATTACTGTTCTGATATTACTCCTTTATTAAAAATATAAATATGTCTATGGACCATTTAGAGAAATCGGTCTTCTTAACTATAGGCTCTAATTCAGCAGAAATGATCTGTTTGTTCCTTCCATATCACCTGTGTAGTTGACACACCCAATTGCACATAGAATTAATTAGTACAATATTGGAATAGGAAGTAAGAAACTGAGGCGTAGAGAATAATAAAGAAAATTATAATAATAAATGAATAAGAAGAAGAATGAATTGATTGATGAGTAGCTGATTCACTGTGAAGAAAGACATTTTTTTTTGTATTGTCCTTGTTCTTTTCCTGATGCAAACGTTGGTGCATACCAGCTTGGTGCCTGACACATTTCAGGTTTGTGTCTCGGCCGGAAAGAACCGACTGAGGGAAACGCTGGTTAATCAAGCGAACGTCAGGCGGGCTGGTGGATGGAGAGGCGAGACAGCGTATTGGTTGCAAAATAATTTTTTAGTTACGCCACTGGTGGCCGCGACGCAGGCTGTAAAGGCTGCTTACGTAGTTGCAACGAGTTGCTCCAACTGGCAAGAACCCAAGCCAGTGAGTCCACAGACGAACCGGGCATGCAGGGGAAGGGTGCGTCGGGGATAAGCGCTCGGCGACGGGGAGATAAAATCGGTAGTTGATCAGGCTACTGATTCGCTCTGCCACGAGTCAGGAACTCTTTTAAGTCACTCTGCAGCGTGCTCAAAGTTCTCCGACTTGGGCGGAAGTCGCGCAGATTTTTATATGGCTAGCCAGCCAATTACTAGTCGTTAAGTAGGAATAATTTAGAATCAGCCAATAATGGGGTGCGAATTTACATACAAACGGCGGGAACTTCTCTGCACCGGGGTTTCCTCTCTGCAGCAGAAAATTCCACTGTGCAAAGAAGCTCCAATGTGGTGGGAAAATTCCACTGTGCTGAGGCATCAAAATCATTGGGTTATGACAGTTTGAAGCTAAGAATCATGGAAAAGTAAGGGAATAACTATGTGCCTGAAGCTTAGCTATGGGCCACAATATAAGAACATAAAAAATGCCACACTAGGTCAAATCATAGGTCCATCTAGTCTAGTGTTCTGTGTCTCAGTGGCAGAGAGTCGATATCTAAGGACAGAGATTTTAAAGAGGCCCCATCCTGAATGATCTCTCCTGCACCCCTCACCCCTTTTTAAGTTCCGGTGTTCACAGACTAGAATGTCATGACTGAGATGCTGTACCCCTAACTATCATGTTTAATACTCACTGAGGGACCCATCCTGAAGGAACTTGTTCAGTCCTCTTTTGAACCTGATTAAGAACATAAGAACTGCCATTTACTGGGTCAGACCATAGGTTCATCTTGCCCAGTATCCTGTGTCACACAGTGGCAGAGTAGATGCCGGGAGAGTGAACTGGGTATGACCAGTTTTTTTTTTTTTTTAACATCCCCCCTACTGTTCCTCTCTCACTTGCAGCCTCCAGCATTTAAGGTCTGGGAAGTTCTAATTCAAAAGCTGTCTCCCTGACTGCCATGCTCAATAACTAATGGTTAAATTATTAGCCTCTACGTTTCTTATTTTCTTATGTTGCATTATGGGGTTCCTAAGTTACAATCAATCTTGTAGAGCAGGGAATCATAGAACTTGCTTTAGCTCATAAACCAGGGAAACTATTTTTTGCTGAATAGACCTCATAAATAGAAGTAGTGCTTTCTTATGCTGAAAGGCACTAGGCGCTTACCATTTAAAACAAACAATATTAACATGCACTCTGTGAATAGTATGCTCTGTTGTGCAATAACCTTACATATTGTGATGAATTTCTTCTTCAAAATGCTGAACTAGCATGCAATTCATTAAGTAAATTAGTTTCTTTTTTCCTCTAGAGTGCCTTGCTAAATGGCAATTGTCCATTGAATAAATATGCTCTAAAAGCAGGATTGTATATTTATTCTAGTAAATTTAATAAATTCATGGTTGAACTCACTTTAATTTAATTGATAATTCTTTTTCTCTGGTGGAGTGCTGTGAAATAGGACCCAGGTCTATAGTAGACCCTCAGGTAAACAGGCATTTGCCCAATGGGCTGTCCCTTGCAGTAACTGCAAAGCTGGATCTATGCTGATCTATACATAGAAGTAAAAAGCTTGCGCATTATTGTCTGCCCATTCAGTATACTGATCTGACAGCTCTCTAGCAGCTGTGATAAAATTGTTGCAGACATGAAAATTCTGGGTGATAGTAATTTGATTTCAGCAACATCTTTCTGAGAGCGAATATTCTCAAGTAACTTTCTGTGGAGCCCCTCCTTTTCCTTGAAGAAGGTTAAATTATTTCATTTGTGGGTGTTGAGACATTAAAGTGATAGGGCATCAAAGAAAAGCTAACAAGGAGATTAATTATTTCTTATTCAATGAATTAAATTATTAAACTATGTAGTATTGAATAATAAGTATTAGAAAAAGGCAAACCAACCAAAAACCTCACAATCCATCCTGTCCTAAAATGGAAGTTCCCTTTTGGAAAAATATAACATGGGATCATGAAATTACAGGCTACAGGATGAGCATACTTAATTCTGGCTTTTCCTAACTTTGCTACCTGATTATCTATCTTATAATAGAGGGGGTTTAATGCATATCAATATATGCAACATACACAAAACCCTTTTATATGATATTGTTCATGTATCTTATATATAGAAACACAAATATAATCTAAAAATGCATCTGGGGATTATATTTTGGGTGTTTAATAGTCTTGCATCAAATCACAGGTCTTTTCATGCCTTTTTCTGAATGGTATAATTCTGTCAAGAGAATATTTGTATGCCCCCCACAAACTGGACTTATTTAATACTATGCTACAGTATTTTTATGCTAGTATAATTACTCTGATTTTTTATGAGTTATACCAAAATTGAATTCTTGTAAGAGAGGGCAGTATAAGACTCCAGGACTGTTTTAATCTATTGCTTTCTTTTTTCACAGTACTTAGTAATTCCTAGGGCCTCATAAATATCCTGGATTACTTTATCATTATAACAGATTCAGGCACCAGTTTCACAAACTTACCTTGTTCCCCCCAAAAAACGGGAAAAAAGAATAACAGTCAGTCTTCTCAAAATGTATGTGTAATACCTTTGTGGCTGTTTCCCATTGCACCTGAAATTGAATGTGTGGCCAGTGCCAATCAGTCGATCATCAGTCCTGGCATTGGGAGTGCAGCAGAACCTTTAAGCTAGGGACAAACTTTACACACAAGCTGGTTTCAGTGATCAGAAACTGGTTTAAACATCTAACAGAACAGATATTCATGGCACATAAACCAGTTTGAAAATGGATGAAACTGGTTTGAGATAAACCTGGTTGAATCAGACTTAACTGATCTGATTCAAACCACTTTATGCAATGTCTGCCCCAGGCCCCTTGTTAGTTTAATTTAAAACCAGACACCCCCAGCATCCTGGCATGCTCTCTGGGCTGGGCTGAGTGGGGCTCTCTGCTCCACAGCAGGACGGGCCCCTCCCTCTGCTCCCTGGCTGCAGCTGCAGCACAGACTGCAGGCATCTGCCTGGATTGTCCCTACTGAGCAGGGATTATTCCCCCTGCCCCTCTGCTTTACACAGACACCTCTCAACATTAGCTAGCAGACCACATGATGGCTACAGTCTGTGCTGTGGGAGACAACAAAGGCAGACAGGCTTTTTGGAGCTAATCAACAGGTAACTGATAGGGCTGTGCAAAACAGCACTGTTTCATTTCAACTTCCATTTCACCATTTTGAAGGGACAGTGTTTCATTTTGCTGTTTTGAATCATTGTTCCATTTCATTTCCTCGAAACTGTTTCGTTGTTTCGACGTTTCTCCCATAGGCTATAACGGGGAATTATGAAAATGCCTATAACTTTGTAATTTCCTGCCTGATTAAGATGAAATTGCAGGGATGGTAGCCCCTTCTGAGAGCATTGAAACCTGCCAAGTTTCAAGGAGATAGGTGCAAGGGTTTATGGGAAACTGCACCTCAAACTGTTTAAAGCAAAACTCTTATTATTTGCCAGCAGTGGCAGCATGCTGTCATCCCGCATACAGATCTGGGACCGGTGCCAGCACTGGGTTCTTCCTGGTGCAGCCTGCACTGAGCACTAGGAAGAACCCAGTGCTAGTGCTGGCCCCAGCTGGCAGAGACAGCATGCTGTCATTCTGCGTGCAGATTTGGGGGCCTGCACCCTCCAGGAGGGCTGCAGGGCTGTGCCAGACTCCTCCCAGCAGGCACTCAGTGCAGGTTGTGCCGGGCAGACTCAAGTGCTGGTACTGGGCCCAGTCACAAGTGGCATCCTGCTGCCATCCCGTGTGCAGATCCAGGGGTCTGTGTCCCCCAGGAGGGCTGCAGGGCTGTGCCAGACTTCTTCTGGGGGGTGTGGGCCCCCAGATCTGTGCATGTGATGGCAGCAGGCTACCACTGTTGGCTGGGGCTAATACCAGCACTGGGTTCTTCCTGGCGCAGCCTGCACAGAGTACTAGGAAGAACCCAGTGCTGGCACTGGCCTGCACGTAGATCTGAGGGACCACACACCCTAGGAGGGCTGTAGGGCTGTGCCAGACTTCTCGGGGGCATGGGCTGCTAGATCTGTGCTTGGGATGACAGCAGGATGCTGCTGCTGGCTGGGGCCAGTGCCAGCACTGGG